AGCTGTGGGAGTGGGGCGTCTCATTTTGGGTCAACAACTGTGGGAGTGGGGCGTCTCATTTTGGGCCACCAGCTGTGGGAGTGGGGCGTCTCATTTTGGGTCAACAACTGTGGGAGTGGGGCGTCTCATCTTGGGCCACCAGCTGTGGGAGCGGGGCGTCTCATCTTGGGCCACCAGCTGTGGGAGTGGGGCGTCTCATTTTGGGCCACCAGCTGTGGGAGTGGGGCGTCTCATCTTGGGCCACCAGCTGTGGGAGTGGGGCGTCTCATTTTGGGTCAACAACTGTGGGAGTGGGGCGTCTCATCTTGGGCCACCAGCTGTGGGAGTGGGGCGTCTCATCTTGGGCCACCAGCTGTGGGAGTGGGGCGTCTGATCTTGGGCCACCAGCTGTGGGAGTGGGGCGTCTCATCTTGGGCCACCAGCTGTGGGAGTGGGACCTCTCATCTTGGGCCACCAGCTGTGGGAGTGGGGCGTCTCATTTTGGGCCACCAGCTGTGGGAGTGGGGCGTCTCATTTTGGGCCACTAGCTGTGGGAGTGGGGCGTCTCATTTTGGGCCACCAGTTGTGGGAGTGGGGCGTCTCATTTTGGGCCACCAGCTGTGGGAGTGGGGCGTCTCATTTTGGGTCAACAACTGTGGGAGTGGGGCGTCTCATTTTGGGCCACCAGCTGTGAGAGTGGAGCGTCTCATCTTGGGCCACCAGCTGTGGGAGTGGAGCGTCTCATCTTGGGCCACCAGCTGTGGGAGTGGGGCGTCTCATCTTGAGCCACCAGCTGTGGGAGTGGGGCGTCTCATCTTGGGCCACCAGCTGTGGGAGTGGGGCGTCTCATCTTGGGCCACCAGCTGTGGGAGTGGGGCGTCTCATCTTGGGCCACCAGCTGTGGGAGTGGGGCGTCTCATCTTGGGCCACCAGCTGTGGGAGTGGGGCGTCTCATCTTGGGCCACCAGCTGTGGGAGTGGGGCGTCTCATCTTGGGCCACCAGCTGTGGGAGCGGGGCGTCTCATCTTGGGCCACCAGCTGTGGGAGTGGGGCGTCTCATCTTGGGCCACCAGCTGTGGGAGTGGGGCGTCTCATCTTGGGCCACCAGCTGTGGGAGTGGAGCGTCTCATCTTGGGCCACCAGCTGTGGGAGTGGAGCGTCTCATCTTGGGCCACCAGCTGTGGGAGTGGGGCGTCTCATCTTGTGCCACCAGCTGTGGGAGTGGGGCGTCTCATCTTGGGCCACCAGCTGTGGGAGTGGGGCGTCTCATTTTGGGTCAACAACTGTGGGAGTGGGGCGTCTCATCTTGGGCCACCAGCTGTGGGAGTGGGGCGTCTGATCTTGGGCCACCAGCTGTGGGAGTGGGGCGTCTCATCTTGGGCCACCAGCTGTGGGAGTGGGGCGTCTGATCTTGGGCCACCAGCTGTGGGAGTGGGGCGTCTGATCTTGGGCCACCAGCTGTGGGAGTGGGGCGTCTGATCTTGGGCGACCAGCTGTGGGAGTGGGGCGTCTCATCTTGGGCCACCAGCTGTGGGAGTGGGACCTCTCATCTTGGGCCACCAGCTGTGGGAGTGGGGCGTCTCATTTTGGGCCACCAGCTGTGGGAGTGGGGCGTCTCATTTTGGGCCACCAGCTGTGGGAGTGGGGCGTCTCATTTTGGGCCACCAGCTGTGGGAGTGGGGCGTCTCATTTTGGGCCACCAGCTGTGGGAGTGGGGCGTCTCATTTTGGGTCAACAACTGTGGGAGTGGGGCGTCTCATTTTGGGCCACCAGCTGTGGGAGTGGAGCGTCTCATCTTGGGCCACCAGCTGTGGGAGTGGGGCGTCTCATCTTGGGCCACCAGCTGTGGGAGTGGGGCGTCTGATCTTGGGCCACCAGCTGTGGGAGTGGGGCGTCTCATCTTGGGCCACCAGCTGTGGGAGTGGGACCTCTCATCTTGGGCCACCAGCTGTGGGAGTGGGGCGTCTCATTTTGGGCCACCAGCTGTGGGAGTGGGGCGTCTCATCTTGGGCCACCAGCTGTGGGAGTGGGACCTCTCATCTTGGGCCACCAGCTGTGGGAGCGGGGCGTCTCATCTTGGGCCACCAGCTGTGGCAGCGGGACCTCTCATCTTGGGCCACCAGCTGTGGGAGCGGGGCGTCTCATCTTGGGCCACCAGCTGTGGGAGTGGGGCGTCTCATCTTGGGCCACCAGCTGTGGGAGTGGGGCGTCTCATCTTGGGCCACCAGCTGTGGGAGTGGGGCGTCTCATCTTGGGCCACCAGCTGTGGGAGTGGGACGTCTCATCTTGGGCCACCAGCTGTGGGAGCGGGGCGTCTCATCTTGGGCCACCAGCTGTGAAAGCGGGACGTCTCATCTTGGGCCACCAGCTGTGAAAGCGGGACCTCTCATCTTGAATTTGCCATGAATTTAAATCCAAGAAGGAAAACAAATTATATGCCAATTTGTTTTCAGACTTAGTTCAGTAAAATGGGTAGTGAAATGCCTGATTATTTTTTGCTGTTTATTTTACAGAAACATTTACAAAATTTACAAATATTTCCTGTACAATTTTACACAACTGCCGGACACTGGCGCAGGTGTTCGGAAGGTGTTCAAAACAGTGTGACCAACACACAGTGTGTAACAGTTCACTGTTAACACCTGAACAAGGCAAATGATTATCTAAGATATTACTAGACAATTTACACACGTAAATTGTCTAATTTTACAATTAATAAGACAATTTTACAATTAATAAGACAATTTTACAATTAATAAGACAATTTTACAATTAATAAGACAATTTTACAATTAATAAGACAATTTTACAATTAATAAGACAATTTACACACGTAAATTGTCTAATTGTCTTGTGTAATTTACAAGACTAGTAATGTAAATTTACTCAATTTACATTACTAGTCTTGCGTTTCATCAGCGCCAGTGTCCCCCTCCCCCCCCCCTGCTATCTTCTCTCTTATTGCAAAAAATACATAATTGCAAAAATTGATATCTAATCGCAGAAACGCACATATTATTGCAAAAACATATACGCTAAAATGCACAGCTAATTGCAATAATATACAGCATATATAATTGTTAAAGAACATATATCATTGCAAAAACACATATCTAATTCCAAAAACACATATTTAATTGCAAAAAAAAAATGTATCATTGCAAAATTGCAGATATCATGGCAAAAATACATATCTCATTGCAAAAATACATATTTGCAAAATACATATCTAATTGCGAGTATAACCGGTTATTGGCAACAGTGGTGGTTGAGTACTTAACAGTAAATAACATGCAGAAGCGATTGGTTACTGAAGCAACTATCAGAAACTAGGGTATTAGAGTACATAATGTACTCTAATATACTGTAACTGTGGTATTAGAGTACATAATGTACTCTAATATACTGTAACTGGGGTATTAGAGTACATAAGGTACTCTAATACTGTAACTGTGGTATTAGAGTACATAAGGTACTCTATTATACTGTAACTGTGGTATTAGAGTACATAATGTACTCTAATATACTGTAACTGTGGTATTAGAGTACATAAGGTACTCTAATATACTGTAACTGTGGTATTAGAGTACATAATGTACTCTAATATACTATAACTGGGGTATTAGAGTACATAAGGTACTCTAATACTGTAACTGTGGTATTAGAGTACATAAGGTACTCTAATATACTATAACTGGGGTATTAGAGTACATAAGGTACTCTAATACTGTAACTGTGGTATTAGAGTACATAATGTACTCTAATACTTCAACTAGGGTATTAGATTACATAAGGTACCCTAATACTGTAACTGGGGTGTTAGAGTACATATCAAATAGGGTACACGAAACGCAGCTATGCCATTGGGTACTGTTGAGTGACGTCACTGGGCTTAATCGACCAATTAGTGACAGGTGACTCGTCAGAGGGAGGACATATTAGCCAATCAGAATTGGGGGGGTTAGCAATGACGTCATGTTAGTGACGTCATATGAGTAGCTAATCAATTTCTTGGACTGGTCATCAGATATACATCTGAGGTGTATTTTTTGTTGTGTGTATTGTTATGATGAGGGTCAGGTGTGTATAGCTGTGTGTGTGTGTGTGTGTGTGGTCGTGTGCTTGTGTAGGCTTGGAGTTGGCTATGACATATGTGTAATTAATGCACATAGTTCAGATGTGTTGCTCTTGTGTGTGTCTGGCTGTCATCACAGACATATGACTGATGTCAGCCAGGTGTATGACTGTAATGTCAGCCAGGTGTATGACTGTAATGTCAGCCAGGTGTATGACTGTGATATCAGCCAGGTGTATGATTGTAATGTCAGCCAGGTGTATGACTGTAATGTCAGCCAGGTGTATGACTAATGTCAGGCAGGTGTATGACTGTGATGTCAGCCAGGTGTATGATTGTAATGTCAGCCAGGTGTATGACTGTAATGTCAGCCAGGTGTATGACTGATGTCAGCCAGGTGTATGACTGTAATGTCAGCCAGGTGTATGACTGTAATGTCAGCCAGGTGTATGACTGCAATGTCAGCCAGGTGTATGACTGATGTCAGTCAGGTGTATAACTCATGAGCAGCTAGCGTGTATGACTGATGTCAGCCAGGTGTATGACTGTTGTCAGCCAGGTGTATGACTGTAATGTCAGTCAGGTGTATGACTGTAATGTCAGTCAGGTGTATGACTGTAATGTCAGTCAGGTGTATAACTGATGAGCAGCTAGCGTGTATGACTAATGTCAGTCAGGTGTATAACTGATGAGCAGCTAGCGTGTATGACTAATGTCAGCCAGGTGTATAACTGATGAGCAGCTAGCGTGTATGACTAATGTCAGCCAGGTGTATAACTGATGAGCAGCTAGCGTGTATGACTGTAATGTCAGCCAGGTGTATGACTGTTGTCAGCCAGGTGTATGACTGTAATGTCAGGCAGGTGTATAACTGATGAGCAGCTAGCGTGTATGACTGTCATGTCAGTCAGGTGTATAACTGATGAGCAGCAAGCGTGTATGACTGATGTCAGCCAGGTGTATGACTGTAATGTCAGCCAGGTGTATGACTGATGTCAGCCAGGTGTATGACTGTCATGTCAGCCAGGTGTATAACTGATGAGCAGCAAGCGTGTATGACTGTCATGTCAGCCAGGTGTATGACTGTCATGTCAGGCAGGTGTATGACTGATGTCAGCCAGGTGTATGACTGTCATGTCAGGCAGGTGTATGACTGATGTCAGCCAGGTGTATGACTGTAATGTCAGGCAGGTGTATGACTGTAATGTCAGCCAGGTGTATGACTGTAATGTCAGCCAGGTGTATGACTGTGATATCAGCCAGGTGTATGACTGTGATATCAGCCAGGTGTATGACTGTAATGTCAGCCAGGTGTATGACTGTGATATCAGCCAGGTGTATGACTGATGAGCAGCTAGCGTGTATGACTAATGTCAGTCAGGTGTATAACTGATGAGCAGCTAGCGTGTATGACTGATGTCAGCCAGGTGTATGACTGTTGTCAGCCAGGTGTATAACTGATGAGCAGCAAGCGTGTATGACTGATGTCAGCCAGGTGTATGACTGTAATGTCAGCCAGGTGTATGACTGATGAGCAGCAAGCGTGTATGACTGATGTCAGCCAGGTGTATGACTGATGTCAGTCAGGTGTATAACTGATGAGCAGCTAGCGTGTATGACTGATGTCAGCCAGGTGTATGACTGTTGTCAGCCAGGTGTATGACTGATGAGCAGCCAGGTGTATAACTGATGAGCAGCAAGCGTGTATGACCCTCAAACTCTTCACTACACCGGCTGTACACGCCAAGCCTTTACTTCTATTATATATTACCTCTAAAACCAAAGAACAATATATATTAATGTCAAAAAAAAACAAAAGTTAATCAACAAAATACAATCTGTTATCTCTATTAAAGTTATATTGCAGCGAACGTTCTAAATCTAATATTTTTAGTCAGACAACATGACTCTTAGTGACGCGTGGATGATTGGTCTAGTGATAACGCTTTGGATATCATGTCCGTTATGGATATCATGAGCAAAACTGTTATTTTAGGGAGAAAAACTGTTATTTTAGGGAGCAAAACTTATTTTAGGGAGCAAAACTGTTAATTTAGGAGCAAAACTGTTATTTTAGGGAGCAAAACTGTTAATTTAGGAGCAAAACTGTTATTTTAGGGAGCAAAACTGTTAATTTAGGAGCAAAACTGTTATTTTAGGGAGCAAAACTGTTATTTTAGGAGCAAAACTTATTTTAGGGAGCAAAACTGTTATTTTAGGGAGCAAAACTGTTATTTTAGGAGCAAAACTTATTTTAGGGAGCAAAACTGTTATTTTAGGGAGCAAAACTGTTATTTTAGGGAGCAAAACTGTTATTTTAGGGAGAAAAACTGTTATTTTAAGGAGCAAAACTGTTATTTTAGGGAGAAAAACTGTTATTTTAGGAGCAAAACTGTTATTTTAGGGAGCAAAACTGTTATTTTAGGGAGCAAAACTATATAAGATAATTTTGTCTGTGTGTGGTGTGAGGTCAGATGCTTGCGGCTAGTCTCACCTAATTTTGCAGGGGCAACAGTCTGGGGTATGGGGGAGGATGTAGACTAGTTGGGGTTGGCTTATGTTGGTTGTCTAATTTTCAGCCACATTATTACAACTCATCATCTGCTTAAAGTAATATTAGCATCTATAGAGGCCACCATGGGATTATCATATATATATATATATATATATATATATATATATATATATATATATATATATATATATATATATATATATATATATATATATATATATATATATATATATACAAGGGTGAAATATTTGGTGTGCTTTACCTAGAGTTTTTAGTCCATAATATATTTTCTGATTGGAGGAGGAGGAGGAGGAGGAGGTGGTTGAGAGTGGAGATGGGGGTAAAGAGGGGGGGGGAAGGGGAGGAAGGGAATTGTTAGGGGAAAGCGCCAAGCCATTACGACTATATAGCATCTAGAAGGGGTTAGGATAAGGATTTGGGATGGGATGGGGGGTGGGGGGGCAGAAATGGTGCCCCAACTGCTAGGACGTTCGGGGATTGAACGCCGATCTGCATGACGCGAGACCGTCGCTCTACCGTCCAGCCCAAGTGGTTGAACGAAAGAAGGTCAGATGGAGAATAGCGGGAAAAGGGGGGAATAGAAAAAGAGGTGGAATGGGTGAGTGGGAGAGAGAGAGAGATAGACTGTCCCGGGCACCGCCGGGTACCCCATATAGTATTAACGTTATAAATTAGTATGGAATGGGACGTCTGTGAAGGAACCTCAATAGTCTAAGAGAAAAGTTGAGTAGCACTCATCTTTCCCCCTCAGATGAGTAGCACTCATCTGAGGGGGAAAGTTGCCACCTGGCTCCACTTGAGTGCTGCAACAGACTCGAACACACTCACACACTCTCTCTCTTAATTATCGAGTACTCCGTACCTGTTCATCAAGCATTTACTTGCCAGCTACGAAACCTGTGTATCATTCCCTCAGTCATGGCGGTTAAGTCTGTATTAAACAGTTTACCAGCCTGGAAACTTCTCACAACCCCAAGATTATTGGTGTTATAAACTGCCTCGTTAATTTGTAAACTGTTAAAGCAAGCTAAGCCACCATGATTGTCAAAAGATGTACAGGTTTCGTAATTGGATAGGTAGATGCTTGATTGGTCCTAAATTCAGAAGTTTCCATGCTCGAAAACTACTAAATAAACACAGACTAAGCCGCCATGACTGGGGAAAGATGTACATGTTTCGTAAATGGGCGAGTAAATGGTTGGTGACTCTTGACCCCCTGATCTGAGTAAGACATTGACAAGAGAATATTACACAAGATGGTGTTCATATCTTGACGTCTTATCTTCAAGCCAGGTAACATCTCTGCTATGTTATGCTCCGCTACAGGAAGCCGGTCGGCCGAGCGGACAGCACACTGGACTTGTGGTCCCGGGTTCGATCCCGGGCGCCGGCGAGAACCAATGGGCAGAGTTTCTTTCACCCTATGCCCCTGTTACCTAGCAGCAAAATAGGTACCTGGGTGTTAGTCAGCTGTCACGGGCTGCTTTCTGGGGGTGGAGGCCTGGTCGAGGACCGGGCCGCGGGGACACTAAAGCCCCGAAATCATCTCAAGAAAATCTCAAGATAACCAGGTGTGCGTGACGTCACGGTACTTCCGTAATAAACACCAGCTCATTGGTTGAAAGAACGGGGGATTACGTCATATAGTTATTAACTAATGGCCTGGCGTATTCTAGGCAAAGAGTGTCCAATAACAGTTTTTAGTAGGGGGCTCGGTGACGTCATCAGCATACTGACCAATGCACGTCCAAGTAGTAGGGACTTAGTGACGTCATCAGCACACTGACCAATGCAAAGCCTCCTCCACAATAGGACAGTACCTATAGCTACTATGGATGTAATGTTCAAGATATGTACAGTTGCACGCCAAACTAAGGTCCCTATCTTGTACAGTATGCCGTAATACTTAGCAAAAATTGCAACAAATGCAGTCATAGGCCTCATTTAGTGAAACTATATATTAATTCGCGGGGGGGGGGGCAATAGGCCTATTATTATGTACTATACTAGGCCTAAAGGAAGCTGATTGTTGCCTCCTTTATTTTGCATTCAACAAACCAATAATACAAAAAAAAGACCTGGGAACAACAACATGAAGTGTGAGCAGCCACACTTGGGGTCCAGGGTTCGAGCCTCCCAGAGCCCCAGGTGGATGGAACAGCAGCATGTTTGTTACACCTTTCCTTCCTAGTACCTTTAGTTGTTGTTGTTGTTAAAGATTCGCTACCTGGAACAAAAAGTTCCAAGTAGCACGGGCTATGGTGATCCCGTGGAGCTTTAGTTACTCTCACAGGATGGCTGAGACGAAGGAGTATGAGGGGGAATAAGACCAAGGGGGGAGCCTAGGGACGGGGGTTCGATCACATTCCATAACCTCCACATTTTCCTCAAGATTCAGTTGGACATAATTACGCAAATCCACTTATTAGTAGCATAAACCGACCAATCAGGAGGGTGAATGATATAGGAGAAATCACGAAAATAAACACGTGATTAAGTTTTTAATCACGAAAATAAACACGTGATTAAGTTTTTAATCACGAAAATAAACACGTGATTAAGTTTTTAATCACGAAAATAAACACGTGATTAAGTTTTTAATCACGAAAATAAACACGTGATTAAGTTTTTAATCAATCACGAAAATAAACACGTGATTAAGTTTTTAATCACGAAAATAAACACGTGATTAAGTTTTTAATCACGAAAATAAACACGTGATTAAGTTTTTAATCACGAAAATAAACACGTGATTAAGTTTTTAATCACGAAAATAAACACGTGATTAAGTTTTTAATCACGAAAATAAACACGTGATTAAGTTTTTAATCACGAAAATAAACACGTGATTAAGTTTTTAATCGCGAAAATAAACACGTGATTAAGTTTTTAATCACGAAAATAAACACGTGATTAAGTTTTTAATCACGAAAATAAACACGTGATTAAGTTTTTAATCACGAAAATAAACACGTGATTAAGTTTTTAATCACGAAAATAAACACGTGATTAAGTTTTTAATCACAAAAATAAACACGTGATTAAGTTTTTAATCACAAAAATAAACACGTGATTAAAAATGTGACAGTGTCAGACCACGAAGGTAAATTGAAACAGGAATTTCCTTAAGTACTTTCGTGTATTAATACAGTACTCCTTCTGAAGATGTATTAATATACGAAAGTACTTAAGGAAATTCCTGTTTCAATTTTCCTCCGAGGTGTGACACTGTCATATATATATATATATATATATATATATATATATATATATATATATATATATATATATATATATATATATATATATATATATATATATATATGAGTTTTCAGTTGTATATAGTCCTGGGGACCATTCAGGCTTGTTTGCATATATATATATATATATATATATATATATATATATATATATATATATATATTTTAATGAGTAAAAGCAACGTAACGATAAAAATTGTTGTTAATAATAACTCTAGAACAAACTATTATAAATGCGAGGAACAAATACGATCACATAACTTATTACTAAATTATAACTCAGAGTCCTGGTTAGTTAGCACACTGTCCTCTCACTTGATACGTCGTATTTTAACGGATTCTCACCCAATCCGTTAAAAATGAGGGGGAGGGGGGGGGACCTTGTCAAAATTAAAGCACCAAAATCTGTTACGTAGCAGTAAATAGGTACCTGGGTGTTAGGCAGCTGTCACGGGCTGCTTCCTGGGGGTGGAGGTCTGGTCGAGGACCGGGCCGCGGGGACACTAAAGCCCCGAAATCATCTCAATATAACCTCAAGAAGATAACCATAGTATTGACGTTTTCCATGCATCGGCTTCGATACGTTAGGTGGGTTGCTTGGGTTCGTATGCTTCTGGGTTAGGCAAAACGGTCGCAATTGTTACGGAGTGGTTAAATCGAGGATAAGCGCTGGATACTGCTTAATTGTAGCCCGCGTCAGGCTACTGTGCGTTAGTGGTGGCCTAGTT